AGGATGATTATACTTCAACCAGTAAAGGTAAAGACTAGGTGTTAGATGGAATTCGGCTAAAGGCACCTTTAAGCTGAATTCCATTTAACACCTGATGCCTGGTTAGAGTCTGCCTTTCTCTCACTGGGGCATACACTGAATCAGTGAGCTCAGCAGTCAGTATGGATTGAAGTTTTACACTGTCAAAGAAGCACTGCCTTACTTGGTTTGAAACTTCTCTCCATTTTTAAACCATGGTGACCATATTATGATCATCTCAGGTAATAAAATTTCACCAAGTGCCATGCTTTCAGGATTCTGTGTCCACATTTCTAGTCATCTCACAAGGTATAGGATTCTTCCAATTTAGACCTTAAACATAGTATAGAAACTTTCACAATGAATAGGGCTGTCCATCCTAACAACTTTTCATGTGGTAGACCTGTTCCTGGTTTTCACACAAACTAAGAATAAGTTAGAATTACTAAAGGTAAAGGTAAATAATGATTAACAAAAGAGGTAGAATTAATGAGTTTGCTATTTTTAAAAAATTATTAAAATAAAAAATCTTACAATAAAAGGAGAAAGCAAAAATATGAAAACACTGGTATTTGGAGATAGTCATTTAGAGGAAGAAAGTTGAAAATTATATGTGAATATATATATTAATCTCAAAATTTGGATTTTTTAATTTATAGAAAAAGAATATGAAAATTTATACCAGAAGAAAGACAGTCTAAAAAGACCAATTAGCATAAGAAAAAGTAAAGTTATCAAACAAACAAAAAAATCCTCAGCAACAACTTATCTTCATTAAACGTTTCTGAAGCTTAGTTAATTGGAAATTTGTTTATTTTTTAACTTTTATTTTAAGTTTGGGGTAAATGTGCAGGTTTGTTATATCGGTAAACTTGTGTCATAAGGGTTTGTGGTGCAGATTATTTCATCACCCAGGAATTAAGCCACTAGTTATTTTCCCTGTTCCTCTCTCTCCTCCCACCATCTGCCCTACAATAGGCCCCAGTGTGTGTTGGTCCCCTATGTATGTCTGTGTGTTCTCATCATTTAACTCCCAATATGAGTAAGAACATGTAGTATTTTGTTGTCTGTTTCTGCCTTAGTTTGCTAAGAATAATGTCCTATACCTTCATCCATGTTCCTGTAAAGAATGTGATCTTTTTCTTTCATGTGGCAGCATAGTATTCCATAGTGCAGATATACCACATTTTTTAAAAATCCAGTCTAGGCCGGGCGCGGTGGCTCAAGCCTGTAATCCCAGCACTTTGGGAGGCCGAGGCGGGTGGATCACGAGGTCAACAGATCGAGACCATCTTGGTCAACATGGTGAAACCCCGTCTCTACTAAAATTACAAAAAATTAGCTGGGCACGGTGGTGCGTGCCTGTAATCCCAGCTGCTCGGGAGGCTGAGGCAGGAGAATTGCCTGAACCCAGGAGGCGGAGATTGCGGTGAGCCGAGATCGCGCCATTGCACTCCAGCCTGGGTAGCAAGAGCGAAACTCCGTCTCAAAAAAAAAAAAAAAAAAAAATCCAGTCTAATATTGATGGACATTTAGGTTGATTCCATGTCTTTGCTACTATAAATAGCGCTGCAATGAACATACCTGTGCATGTGTCTTTATGACGGAATGCTTTATATTCCTTTGGGTATATAAAGGATGCCAGCATCTGTTATTTTTTGACTTTTTAATAATAACTTCTGATTGATGTGAGATGATATTTTATTATGGGTTTGAACTGCATTTCTCTAATAATCACTGATGGTGAGCTTTTTTCTCCATATGCTTGTTGGCCACACATATGTCTTCTTAGAAAATTATCTGTTCATGTCCTTTGCCTGTGTTTTGATGGGGTTGTTTGGTTTTTGCTTGAAATTTGTTTAAATTTCCTGCAGATGCTGGATATCAAACCTTTGTCAAATACGTAATTTTCAAAAATCTTCTCCCATTGTGTAGGTTGTCTGTTTACTCTGTCAACAGTCTCTTTTTTCTGTGCAGAAGCTATTTAGTTTAATTATATCCTATTTGTCAATTTTTGCTTTTGTTACAATTGCTTTTGGTGTCTTTGTCATGAAGTATTGTCCAATTCCTGTGTCCAGAATAGTATCACCCAGGTCATCTTCAGAGATTTTATAATTTTGGGTTTTACATTTAAGTCCTTAATCTATCTTGAGTTGATTTTTGTATATGGTGTAAAGAAAGGGTTCAGTTTCAATCTTCTGCACATGGCTAGTTAGTTATCTCAGTGCCACTTATTGAACAGGGTGTCCTTTTGCCATTGTTTGTTTTTGTCAGGTTTGTCAAAGATTAGATAGCTGTAAATGTGTGGCCTTTTATCTGGGCTCTCTGTGCCATTGGGCTGTGTATCTGTTTTTGTACTAATACCAGGATGTTTTGGTTACTGAAGTTCTGTAGTATGGTTTGAAGTTGGGTAGGATGATACCTCCAGTTTTGTTCTTTTTGCATAGGATTGTTTTGGTTATTGGGGCTTTTTTAGTTCCATATGAATTTTAAAATAGTTTTTCTAGTTCTATGAAGAATGTCATTGCTAGTTTAGTAAGAATAGCATTGAATCTGTAAATTGCTTTGGGCTGTATGGCCATTTTAATAATATTGATTCTTTATATACATAAGCACATTTTTTCATTTGCTTGTGTCATTTATGATTTCTTTGAGGAGTGTTTTGTAATTCGCATTGTAGAGTTTGCTCACCTACCTGGTTAGCTTTATTTCTAGCTATTTTATGCTTTCTTTGTGGCAATTGTGAATAGGATTGCATTCTGATTTGGCTCTCAGCTCAACTATTGTTGGTGTATTAGAATGCTAGTAATTTTTGTACATTGATTTGGGATCCTGAGACATTACTGAAGTTGTTTATCAGTTAAAAGTGTTTTTGGGCTGAGACTATAGGGTTTTCTAGATATAGTATTATGTCATCTGCAAACAGGGATAGTTTGATTTCCTTTCTTCCTATTTGGATATCTTTTATTTCTTTTTCTTGCCAGATTGCTCTGGCCAAGACTTTCAATATTATGTTGAATAGGAGTGATGAGAGAAGGCATCTTTGTCTTATGCCAGTTTTCAAGGGGAATTCCTCCAGCTTTTGCCCATTCAGTGTAATGTAGGCTGTGGATTTGTCATAGATGGTTCTTGTTATTTTGAAGTATGTTCCTTCAATACATAGTTTATTGAGTTTTTAATCTAAAGGGGTACTGAATCCTACCAAATGCCTTTTCTGCATCTGTTGGGATGATTATTTTATTTATTTATTTTTTTGTCTTTAGTTCTGTTTATGTGATGCATCACTTTGTAGATTTGCTTATATTGAGCCAACTTTGCTTCCTGGGGTTCAAGCCTACTTGACTGTGGTGGATAAGATACTTGGATTCAGTTTGCTGCTGGACTTGGTTTGCCAGTATTTTGTTGAGGCTTTTTGCATTAATATTCATCAGGGATCTTGGTCTAAAGGTTTCTTTTTTGTTGTATCTTTGCCAGGTTTTGGTATCAGAATAATGCTGGCCTTATTGAATGAGTTAAGGGAAGTATCTCCTCTTCTATTTTTGGGAATAGTATCCATAAGAATGATACTATCTCTTCTTTGTACAACTGGTAGAATTTGTCTATAAATCTGCCTGGTCCTGGAATTTTTGTTGTTGTTTTTGGTAAGCTATTTATTACTGATTAAATTTTGGAGGTGGTTATCAATCTGCTCAAGGATTCAGTTTCTTTCTGGTTTAGTCTTGGGATGGTGTGTATGTCCAGATATTTATCCATTTCTTCTAGATTTTCTAGTTTATGTGCATAGAAGAGTTAATAATATTCTCTGATAGTTATTTTTATTTCTCTGGGGCCAGTGGTAATATTTACTTTGTTTTTTCTAACTGTGCTTATTTGTATCTTCTCATTTTTCTTCTTTATTAGCATAGTTAGCAATCAATTTGTTTTTATTAATTTTTTTCAAAAAATCACTCCTGGTTTATCTTTTAAATTTTTTTTTTTTTTTTTGGTTTCGTGATCTCCTTCACTTCAGCTCTGAATTTGCTTATATCTTGTCTTCTGCTAGCTTCAGAATTGATTTTGTTTTGGTTCTTTAGTTCATCTAGTTGTGATGTTAGATTGTCCTATTGAGGTCTAAATTTAGTGTTATAAATTTCCCTCTTGATACTGCCTTAGATGTGTCCCAAAGATTCTGGTATGCTGTATCTTTATTCTCATTAGTTTCAAAGAACTTCTTGATTTCTGCCTTAATTTCATTATTTATCCAAAATTCATTCAGAAGCAGGTTATTCAATTTTCACATAATTGTATTGTTTTTAGCAAACTTATTAGTTTGCAATTGAAATTGCAACCCCGATTTCCATTTGCTTGGTAGATTTTTCTCAATTCCTTTACTTTGAGCTTATGCGTGTCATTGAATGTGACATGAGTCTCTTGAAGACAGCATACCAGTGGGTCTTGATTCTTTATCCAGCTTGCCACTGCGTGCCTTTTAATTGGGGTATTTAGCCCATTTACATTCAAGGTTAGTATTGATATGTGTGGATTTGATCATGTCATTGTGCTGTTAGCTGGTTTATTTGGTTGCTTTGTAGTGTCAGCGCTTTGCATATGTATGTGTTTTTTTGTAGTGGCTGGTAATGGTCTTTTCCGTATTTAGTGCTTCCTTCAGTAGCTCTTTTAAGACAGGTCTGGTAGTGACAAATTCTCTCAGCTTTTGCTTGTCTGGAAAGGAACTTATTTCTCCTTCACTTATGAAGTATAGTTTATCCAAAAATGAAATTCTGCATTTGAATTTCTTTTGTTTAAGAATGTTAAATACTGGCTCCCAGTCTCTTATGGCTTGTAAGGCTTCTGCTAAGAGGTCTGCTGTTAGTCTGAAGGGCTTCCTTTCCCTTTAACTGGACCTTTTCTTTAGCTACCATTAATATTTTTTCTTTCATTTTGACCTTGGAGAATCTGATGACTATGTGTCTTGGGAATGATTTCCTGAATTTCAGTGTTGGAAAAATACAGAATTTGTGTTATCATGAATTTGTGTGTTATTCTTGTATCAGGGCCATGCTTATCATTTCTGTCTTGTTCTAATTTCAGTATATGTGGTGTCAAAGTGAGCACTTGAAAGTTAATTCTGTCAAAACTTTAAAAATTGAAAGCTCCAGGCAAAACTTTCTGAAAGCATCTAAATAATTGTTGATAAAACAATTAAAACATTGATACCAAATCCAGTAGAAATAAAACATAGCAACCAATTAGGATAGATCTCACATCTGGATACCATTGCAATCCCCTATCCCTAGAAAAATTGCAGTTAAATTAAAATGTCATTGAAATAATCATAGGCAACAATCAACTAGGGTGCTTTCCTGGAATGCAAATATTGGGAAATTTTATGAAAACAATATTAATCTAGCAAGACAAAAAGGTAATTTTTTCTTCTATTAATGCTGAAAATATAAGAGAATTCACATCTTTTCTTACAAAACCACTACAATATTAAGGATATGTAGACATATAGATAAATTTATCTTTTTGACCACAAACTAAGCAAAGGCATGAACATTGGATAGAAAAATGTAAATTGTTCTTTGAAGATAGTATGACTCTATACTTAGAAGACTCCACTTAATTAACTAAGAGAAACTCATAAATGTAGATAATAAAAACTTTAGTAAGTGGGTGAGCAGTCTAACTTACAGAATTAAAAGTAAAACTTAGTGTCATAAAATGTTTAATATTGCAGTTTTATAATCTGTTTTAGTATTTGGTAGGGAAAGAACATAATTACTCTGATTTTTGTATATTTTTATGACATTCTTACATACTCTTTTACAGTAGCTGTAAGATTATTTTGTGATATGAGATTTTGACTAAGAAATGATGCTGTTTCTCATTCTCCTTGAAGCCCAAATTTTCTCCTTTATACCAGAGTATAAAGTGAATGATAGAAAATTAGGCGAATATGCCATTTAAACAATGTTTGCTTGACTTCTGTTGTTGTGGCCTTAATGAGGATGATTAAAGATAATGCCATTTTTTTCTGATTATTTATTTGCATTAAACTTCAATGGTGACTGGGTCTTTGAAAGAGATTGAATTGAGTTCTTTTTGTCCTTTCCCCTTATTTACCATTACAGTGTGTAAGAATACAAATTTTAAATAGATTCTCTGAAGTCTAAAGCCTTTACATGATGCATTAAAACTGAGCCATACGCTCTGAGTTATGAGGTGCAATAATTAATTTTCTCATTTCTTCACATTTCCATGTTGTTAAATGTTAATCAATTCCTGCTGTTTTGGAGGTCAGAAATTTAAATGTTAGCAGTAATACCCATAAGGAAATACATTTATTGATATTTAAGTTATTGAAAACAAAAGGATAGAGTGAGAAACATTTAATATAGAACTAAATTAATTTGATATCCCCAAATAAGTGTACATTTTATGACTGCCATCACTATAAATAACAGTAAAATAGTATATCTGTAGTTTAAACCTGGGCTTATCAGGTCTTCAGAGAGCTATAGAGTTTATTTATTTCCAATTGCTCAGTTTATAATATTTCTGCAGGATACTAAGTGCATAGTTAGCATATATTCCTTCCATGTATTCACTTACTTTATTATACATTTTTTCAACAACTGTTTTTTGAGCACTAGGTATATACCAGATGCTGTACTTGTAGATGCTTTAGATGCAGAATGAAGCAAAACAAAAATTTCTGTCCTAGTGGAGTTCTTATTTTAGTATTGGAAGAGAGACAAAAAGCAAGCCTCATAGATTATGTGAAATTTTACAAAATAAAGAGGGCTGTGAAAAAATACAGAAAAAAAAAACTAGAGCAGAGTAAGGGAGACTGAGGCAATTGGGTAAGTCCAAAGAGTTGTTTCAATTTCAAATGAGAATATCAGGATAGGCCTTATTGAAAAGATGAGATTTGACAGGGTTTGAAAGATATGAGGAAGTAATTGTGCAGATATTCTGAAAGAATGTTTCTTAGTAGGGAAGGAACTCAGGAAGAGTAGAAAGGAGTAGGAATAAATGAAAATTAGTAGGATAAATTATAAGAGCATAGCAAGAGGTCAGAATCTCATAGGGTATTGCCAGACATTTTAAGAATTTTTTTAAACTTCAAGATAAATGGGAGTCATGTCAAAGCTTGGAGGAGTGATTTCATCTGCACAAAGCTTTAAGAGAATCATTCTGGCTACTCTGTTGAGAATATGTTGAGGAGGATGAGTCTAAAAGAAACAAGCTTAGCTAAGCAGCAACTGCAGTGATCTAGGCAAGAGAAGATGGCAGTTAGAAAATTGGTGGTCACAAGTCAGAGATTGAGACCATCTCAGTCAACATGGTGAAAGCCTGTCTCTACTGAAAAAACAAAAATTAGCTAGGCATGGTGGTGTGTGCCTGTAGTCCCAGCTATTCCAGAGGCTGAGGCAGGAGAATTGCTTCTACCCAGGAGGTGGAGGTTGCATTGAGCTGAGATCATACCATTTCACTCCAGCCTGGGCAACAAGTGAAATGCTCTGTCAAAAAAAAAAAAAAAAAAAAAAAAGAAAAGAAAAGAAAATTGATGGTCACATACTAAGAAAAATTTAGATTCTGGTATATTTTGAATACAGTTCATGGAAGATGATAGATTGGAAATAAATTTCAAATAGAAATGTAAAATTGTTTTGGTATTTTTGCTCTGAGAACGTTGAACTTTGGTGATGCAATTAATGTGATGTGCAGAACTGTAGGATAAGCAGGTATGAGGGAGACATGAGGAATCGAACTTGAGATGAAGTGTTGAGACACTGAACTTCAATTTTCTTTTGAGCAGCAAGATGGAGAGACATAGTGAACACTTGGATTTATGAGTTTAAAATTCTGGAGAAAAACCTAGTCAGAATGTAAAGTTTTGAGAATCATTGCATATTCGGTTTGCAAAGCTCTGAAACTGACTGGGCTTTCCATGAGATGAGTGTGGATAGAACAGAGGGTAAGGCCTGTGATCCTAGGCACCTCAACATATAGAGATCAGTAAAGAGAGGAACTTCAATAGAGGCTGAAAAGAAACCATGATGTTGGTAGAATGAATTCCATACAGTGTTGGATTCATGGGCACAAATCCTGTGAAGGGCCTTATATGCAAAAGGACCTAGTCTTAGTGTATTTGGGCCATTGTAACAAAATACGACAAATTGAGTGGCTTACAAGCAATAAACATTTATTTCTCACAGTTTTGGAGACTGGGAAGTCCAAGTTCAAGGTGCCAGCAGATTCAGTGTTTGGTGGGTGGCTGCTTTCTGGTTTATAGACAGTACTTTCTTGCTATGTCTTTACATGGTGAAAGGTGCTAGCTAACTCTCTAAGGTCCTTTTAAGAACACTGATCCCAATCATGAGGGATCTACCATCATGACTAATTACCTCCCCAAAAGTCCTAACTCCTAATACTCTCACTGGTGGGATAGGATTTTAATATATAGTTTGGCAGGGGACACAAAAATTCAGACCATAGCAAACTCCACACTTGGTTTAATGCTCTACTGTTTATGCATTGAAATTCCTAATTATTTTTAAACAGGGGCTCTACAAATTATGTAGTTGTCCTGATTCCATGCCACACAGGTAATACATAGAGAGCAAGCAAGGTAATTATCAACTAGATAATGGGTTTTGGTTAAGATAAAAACTAAATAATTTTTCATGTAATTATACATATGCACAGATAAAGATATCTTAAGCTATAAGTCTATTTCTTTTTTTCCTCCACTTAATATGTACACATTTCTTTGATATCTTTGACCTATAATTACTTCCTAATGCTTGCTTCTTTATTATTCTCTCCACTAAGGTTTAAAAATTATCGGTTCAATAATCATTTGTGTTTATTATTATATTTTCTTATTTTCCCTAATCTTATAACCTCAGACCCTAGCATAATTTCTAGTACATAGCAAGTGCTCAATTATTATTTGCTATCAGCTTTTCCAGATGTTGCCATAAGTACCTAATTGATCGGTGGCTTTTTCTCTTTTTACAATCTATAATTTCTGCAGCTTTTTATAAGGGTTTTTCCTTCTGTTTTAAATTTATTTTTAGCTTAGATTATTTTGAACCATATCATGCATGTTTTCTTCTTCCCAAATGTTCTTTCATTGTATTTTCAGTCTTCTTTCTCTTTGTTCTAAATAGACAATAGGTATAAATAACTTAGACTAATGATTAGTCATCAGCCTTATTTTTCTTATTATCTACTATTCCTTTTGTCTCTCTCCATAACTATTACTTTTCCAATATAAATAGCTATGCCTCTCTCCCCAGATGCAAAACTCAGTGTTATTCTGGTCACTGGCCATCTGAGTCTGCTGCTTCTAAGTGCCTTATTTCTATTGACTATTAAGTTGTCAGTAACCTACCTATAGATTGTTCTTGGATTCTTATCTGTCATTAATGGGCTACTCCTATAGTTTCCATTTTTAAGTGACATTCCTTCCTTTCTATATCCATAGCCTCTAGCCTGATTCTGTTTCTCAGCCCCTCTCTCTAGAGGACCAAACACCCCCAGTCAGATCCCTTCTACACAAATCAGAATACTATATTTAAAGCACAATTTCCATTCTATCACTTAAAAACAAGAAATTCTCCAGTCTCTTCCTTTTGTCTCTGCTTCCCAGACTGTGTCAGACTTTTCTGGCATATTATAACCAATCATGAAGTATATCTTTGATGATAAGTTAACAATTATAATTAAAGTCTAAAAGTTGTGAATAATTTGCTTTTTAAAAAATTAATTAAGTGTGCACATTCTATTACACTTGATCCCTTGCTTTCTACAGTGCTTTTCTTGAGTAGAAAGGAGAGGAAGAAAAGACAGGAAGTAACCAAACAGATAGAATTCACAAATTGCACATGTATTATAATCTGTAGCAATATTCATCTTACTTCCTTGGATTTTTTATTTTATTTTATTTTTATTTTTTGATCAAAATATATGGATTGCTTTGTGCATGCAATAATTGTTCATTTTGTCTGCTCCAACACACACACACACACACACACACACACACACACCACACACACACACAGCTCTCTGCTCCCACACACACAGAGTTGAGAATTCCTGAA